GGCTTCTAGCCCAAGTCTATGCCATGCCACACTTAAACCAGGTGCAATGTCAGAGAATGAGAGAAGCCTTCTGCAAACCTAATTTTGCCTTGTTATATGAAGGGTAGTATTTCTAGCCAGGGTAAGCAATGTAAAATCCTAACCAAAAACCCTAATCTTAATCCTAACCCTAAACCTGTACTGCAAACCAGTATAGTGTTATTTGACTTGGATTGTTATAAAGGTATATTGAAATATACGGCAAGCACAAAAAAGAAAAAATAAATAAAAGTGCTAATTGATATGCTAAGGAATAAGAAAAAGCAGAATCATAAAATTCTCAATTAAAACCACAAGGGGCAGAAAAAGAAGACAGAAACAGAAACAAAGAACAAAGACAACTGATAGAAAACAGCAAAAACTGTTAGAGTCTGTAAACAAGTCAGGATAGCGCCTGGCATTTTGCCAGAGGGAGTGGTTTGTGAAGTAACGCCACTGAGCCATTAAGTGTGGAGATTCCTTATTGGTTGACTGCTGTATCTAGTTTATGTTAATTAAGATAAGCTGTGTGTAATGTATATATACCCCTCCTGTCCTACAATAAATGGCTCCCACTCCTGCTGTATCAATCTACACAAGKTGCTCGTCACCCCCGGTTATTTTGCTGCAGCCGGACTTCAGCAAAAAACTATGGCAGATATTAAACTAACAACATCAATAATCATTTTTAAACATCAGTAGTCTAAGTACACCTACTAAAAGAAATTATCTGGCTGGGGTTATAGCTAGCATGTGTGAGGCACTGAGTTCGATCTTCAGCACCATATAAAAATAAATAAATAAAGGTATGTGTCTGTGTACAGCTAAAAATATTTTAAAAAGAAGAAATTGTCAATGTGGATCAAAAGACGTAACTATATGTTATGTACAAGGAACTCACTTTAAATACAAAGATGTATGTATATGTATGTATATGTATATGTATAAATATATATTAAATATAAAGGGACAGAGAAAAATATGATAGTAATAATCAAAAGAAACTTGAAGTAGCTCYACTAATTTCAGTCAGGGCGGAATTATAGCAAAATACATATTCTTCTCAACTTACATAGGACATGTGCCAGGAACCTTTGGGCCAAAAAGTGGATCATAAAATGTATTTATACATTTAAAGATGAGAAATCATACAGTCTTCTTTCAGTTCCTAATGAAATTAAAATAGGAATCAATAACAAAAACATAGCTAGAAAATTCCAAAACATTTCGAGGTTAAACAATGTTTGTATTCAAATCTCAAATGAAAATACAACATATCAAAATCTGTGGAATGCAGCAGAAGCAGTATTTAGAGAGAAATTATAGCATGGATACATATATTAGGAAAGAAAAAAGATCTAAAATAAAGAATCTAAATTTCTAGGTTAGAAATTCATAAAAAGTAAGTTAAATTTAAAGTGAAGAAAAGAAACAATAAAAATTAGAAAAGAAATTTTAAAAAACTGACAACAACAACAACAAMAAAAAAAACAATAGAGAAAAATCAACAAAACCAAAAGCTCTTTCTTTAAAAAAAATCAGTAAAAGTCTAGCCAGCACATCTCAGACAAAAAGAGAKAATATATATATTATTATAATTAATAAGTGAAAGAAGGGACATCACTACAAATATTATGGACATTCAAAGGATACCTTAAGAATATTTTTGAACAAATCCATGACCCACCCAAAATTTGATAACCTAGATGAAATGAACCAGTTCATTGAAAAACAATGTCTGCTAAAACTCACAAAAGAATAAATGTAAAATCTGAAATTATTAAAATTTTAATCAATTTAATTAAAGATCTTCAGAAATACTGGTGGTATAGCTCAGTGATACAGTGAACTTTTAGCATGCATGAAGCCCTAGAATCAATTCCCAGCACCAGTACTAAAACCAAACCAAACCAAACAACAGCAACAATAACAAATATTCCAAAATGGAAAACACCAAGTCCACAGGGGGCTACATATGTCCACTGGTGAATTACACCAAATAATTAAAGTGTAAATCACACCAATTTGTTAGGATCTCTTTCAGAAAGCACAAGTATGTGAAATACTTCCTAACTCATTCTATAAGGTCAGCATTACTCAAATACCAAAACCAAAAACATTACAGGAACACACGTATATTCTATAGATCAATATCTCTCATGAAGACAAAGACAAAAAATTCTCAAAAAAAATATTAACAAATCAAATCCAACAATGTGYAAACAAAATTACAGAATTATACCTCATGACCAACTGGGATTTATACCATATATGTAGGGTTGATTCAACATTCAAAACCAATTAATATAATACATCACATCAACAACAAGATAAAGAAGAAAAATCACATGAGCAGATTAATAGCTGCAGAAAGAGCATCTGACAACAGCTAACACCCACACATGATAAAGACTCAGCATATCAGAAAGGGGATTTTCTTCAACTTCATGAAAAAAGTCTATAAAAACCCTACCACTAATATCTTACTAAATGATGAGAAACTAGAAACTTTCCCACTAAGACTAGAAAGGCAACAACGTCTCCTCTCACAACTCCTTTTCAAAATCATACTGAAAGTCCTGGCTAATGCAATTCGAAAAGGAAATAAAAGGTATGTATATTTGGAAGGAAGACATACAACTGCCCTTGCTTACAGATGGCATGACAGCATGTAGAAAATGCAAATGAATCAACCAAGAAAACATCTGGAAGGAATAAGTGGTTATAACAAGGTTGGAAGATATGAGGTAAATATACAAATATCCTTTACTTTCTTAAATACTGGCAATGAACAACTAAAATTTTAAATTAGAAAAAAAACCCTCATTTACAATAGCATCTTCCAATATGAAATGCTGAGGTATATATCTAACAAAATATGTACAAATCTATATAAGGAAAACTAAAAAACAAATAAACCAAAGAACTAAATAAATGGAGTGATCGTTCATGTTCAGTGATAGGAAGATAATATAATCAATGTGTTAGTTCTTTCCAACTGTATCTATAGATTCAATGTAATCCCAACACAAATTGCAAGCTATTCGTAGACATAGACTTAGACTAAAAAAGGAAAAATACCTAACATAGCCAACACGATTTTGAAGAACTAAGAGTAGTACTGACAGTAGGTGACTTCAAGATTTACCTATTCTCTATTCTTTCACAAATATGTATTTGTGAAAGAATAGAAAATAGGTCAATATTACAGAATAGGGAGCCCAGAAATAGCATATGCAAATATCAACTGATCTTTGGTAAAGAAGCAAAGGTAATACAATGGAGAAAAAAATAACATTTTTAATAAATGGTCCTGGAATTGAACATCCATGTGCAAAAAAAAAAAAAAAAGACCAAAAATGCTGATAACATCAGGCTTGAATGGATACAGAGCAACAGGAAATCTTACTCATTGATGGGAATGAAAAATGGTCCCAAAACTTTAAAAGTCATAGTTTGGAAGTTTCTTCTTCTTCCTTCTTCTCTTTGTCTTTTCAGTGTTGGGGACTGAACCCAGATTCTCTCATGCTTGCTAGGTACATTTTCTRCCACTGAGCTACAACTCCAGTGTTGCAGTCTGTTACAAAACTGAATATATTCATACTACAGGTCTAGCAATAGCATCCTTGATATTTATTTAAGCATCTGAAAACTTACATCTACACAAACACCTACACAGATGTTTACAGTCATTTTTTTGATAATTACACAAACTTGAAAGCAACCAAGATGTTCTCCAGTAGATGAATAGATCAATAAACAGAAGCACATCCAGACAACTGAATATAATTCAGTGCCAAAAATAAATGAGCTAACAAGCCATGAGAAGACATGGAGTAAACTTAAATGCATATTACTAAGGCAATCTGAAAGGATACATGTTGTAAGACTCTGTATAACATTCTAGAAAAGGCAACTAACAGAAACAGTTATGGATCCATGGTTTCCAGGAGGGAGGGATGAGGATACGGAGCAGAAAGGATTTTTAGAGCAGTGAAACATCGTGTATGACAATACAATGGCAGATACATGTCATTAAACATTTGTCAAAACCCACAGAATTCACCACACCAAAAATGAATTCTAATGTAAATTGTGCAGTTGGGGTGATAATGATCCATCATCATAGATCCACCAATTATACTGAATRTGCCATCTGATGTGGGATAACGATAGTGGCGGAGATTGTGCCTGTGTGGAATCGAGAAGTTTCGGGGAACCACTCTGAACTTGCCACCCAAATTTGCTGTGATTCTTTAAAAAGTCTATTAAAAAAAAAGATGCTAGGTACTTGATGAACTTTASTAATGATTTTGTTCTAGCAGAAAAATAAACACTTTGCATTTGTGAATACTTTTTTTAAGGGCCATATTATTTTGAAGCACAGGCAAATGTTAATAAAATCTGCAAGGCAACTTATTGTGAAAGCTTTGGAGGTTAAGTTCTATGAACACGGCAAGAACTAATGGTGATACTAAAGTCTTACAGAAAGGTTTGCAAATTTTTTACCTTTCTGTGGTTTTTTTGTTTGTTTGTTTGTTTGTTTTTGTTTTTAAGGAAGAATATSAGTGAAGAATACTCCTTGAAGACACATTCAGCTAAGGCTTTTCTTTTTTAATTAGTGGAGTACTTTTTTATGGGGAGTTCATTTCTGTGTGGGTGAGGCGCTCTGGGTCTGGGGCTCCTCTCCAAGAAGTGGTGTGGAAACACTGGCAAAGAGATTTTGCGTGAGGTACTTTACTGATGAGAGTAAGCAGCTTGAAGAGCCAAAGRGTCATTGAAGGCCATGTCCCAGTGCAAGTGGCCTGGGTCTCAGGCTGGCTACTCGGGCCTTGTCTCGGGATGTGCATGGACTCGTCTCTCTGTGCATCTKCCGTGGAGGCTGCGTGGGCCACTGGGGTGCCACGGTGGGAAAGGCGGAGATGCATGGCCTCGGCGCTGGGTGGACACTCTGCGGAATGGGCCCAGCCTTGGCTCACGGGCTACCACGGTGTGAGCTTCCCTGGTATAACTGATTTGGCGCGTTGAGGAGTCCAAAAGCCGCTGGCGCTGCAAAGGTGGATCTGAAGAAAAAAGGGTGCTGTGGTGGTAGTMTGGGGAACTACCTGACCCTGAGGGAAAGGCACAGAAGGTCTCCAAGGGGGAGTGGGTGGGAGCCAGGAAAAGGCTGGTTCTCTTGGGTCACCTCGATTGTCTTGGGGCTGCCGCCTGCCTGCCGGTCCTGCACGTCTGCCTACAAGCGAAAGGTTATCCCTGATCCACCTGCCCACTGGGTCGTGGCCTGGGAGGTCCACACCCCAGGCCTCTGCCACGTGGGCCAGCAGGAGCTGGGAGAGGTGCCGGTGCACGCTTGTCCCAGTGCACGCCATCTGACTGCCGGTGTTGCCCCGCGTGGCGGAAGTGGAAATGGAGGTCCAGCACGTGGAAGCCACGCCTGCCCGCCTCCATACAGCTGTAGAAGTTGGCCTCCGTCACGTCTTCCCGCAGGCTGGTCCGGCAGGTCTCGCCTTCCGAGGCAAGGAAGACTCCAGAGATGATTTCTGCCACAGGCATGGCTGTGTTCCACACCAGGAGGCGGGACTGGGGCAGGACCTGGTCCAGGCGCCGGAACAGGCTCTCCACGTCTTCCCGGTAGCTCCTTTGGAAATCATGGCCGTATCTGGAGAGGTCCCAGAGGCAAGAGTTCAGGATGACCACGTCGGGGGCGTGCTCGCCCCACCGCAGCTCTGCCAGGATATCCTCGAAGTAAGGCGAGTACGCACGCGTAAGGAAGTAGAAGCGCACCAGGTGGTGGCTGGAGCAGAACTGGYGAACCTCGCGGTAGTGGGGGCTGTTGTGCATGCAGCCCCACCTGCCACCCTCCAGCGGCACGTCACGCTCGAAGCTTATTTCGCCCCTGGTCTTCAGCTGACTGGAAGAGAGCAGGCAGTCCTTCTGCAGTAGGAGGATCAGGTCCTTGTACACCGCCCTCTGGATGGAGTCCCCCGTGACAACCGCGAACTTGTTGTGAAGCAGCTGCCTGACTTCGCAGGCTCGCAGGTGGGCCATGGTGGCCGAGGGCAGGATGGGTGGCCGAGCTCCTGTCTCTCCTCAGGGCAGGTCAGAAGACAGCACCGGAGAAGGGCAGACCCTCAGAGCAGGAGAGGGGCCAGCCGGGGGTCGATTTGGCCTAGGCTGTGAGGAGAAGCGAAGTGGGGTTCCCTTGGGCCCTGCAGCTCTCCTCAGCTGAATTGTACTTCACCCCGAGACGTGACCTCTGAACTACCAGGACTCCTGTGCGCCCGGGCTCCACCTGGTGGAGCGGAGGCGCAGAACCCCAGCGGGTACCCGCGGCCCCATATCACTGAGGAGCGAGGAGCCAGGYTTTCACATAGCATGGCCTGAACTCAGGGCACAGCCAGTCCATACCCTTCTCTTATCGTGCCAATATTTCACTAATGGGGTCCGTGCTCCATCTAGATGCCTCTTCTTGCTGTTGCTGCTAACTCTTTCTGTACGTGTTCCCATTTCTAGTTGAGAATTTCTTCAGTGCTGGCTTGGTTCTCCTCCTTAGCCAACTCCTGAACTTGTGGCATTTGGGGAATGTCTCTATTATGGGAAGAACACCACTTCCAGGGATAGAACCCAGCCTGGGGACTGATCAACTGCTAGGATGTCCACCCAGTGGTTGGCAGAACCAGTGATTCCTAGGCAAACACTGTAGACTCAACCATTTAAGGTATTTACAGCCAGCTCAGGTGTATTCACCTGTACTTGTAAGACAATACAGAGATCCCTGTGTACCTTTATGCACTTTCCATGGGCCACTGTCTTGGAGAACTATAGTACCTCAGAACGCTGGACAAACAGGCCATTTGCAAATGGCAAGGCTGGAATTCTCCTCACACTCTTACTGTCTGAAGGAGACATTCTTCCATTCTCTGAATGCCAGGCAACCACTAAGCCATTGTCCATTGACAGAATGTTGCCATTTCAAGAATTCTATGCAAATGGGATTCTGTATATGTCATTTGGGAGATAGGATTTTTTTACTCAGTATTGTTTTCTGGAGATTCACCAGAGTGTTCACTTTATAAACTCTGACCACCTGTTTTCTGTACTAGGAAGGGATTTTTCCAGTGATATAAATATTTCAATATTTTGTTACTTTTTTATTGCTGAGTGCTATTCTGCAGTATGGATATACCACAACTGGTGTATCAAATCTCCCATTGAAAGTCTACAGTGTTTTCAATTTTTAGTTGTTAAAAAGTGTACTGTAGGCAAATTTGGTGGCCCACACCTGTAATCCTAGCAGCTTGGGAGGATGAGGCAGGAGGATCACAAGTTCAAAGCCAGCCTCAGCAACTTAGTGAGGTCCTAAGAAAATTAGTGAGACCCTGTCTCAAAGTAAAATATAAAAGGGCTGGAGATGTGGCTCAGTGGTTAAGTATCTCTGAGTTCAATTCCTGGTACAAAAAAAGAAAAACGAAAGTACTGTAGTAAGCATTTCTGTACAGGTTGTTGTGCAAACTGAGACTTTTATTTCTCTGGGATAGACAAAGAACTGTGATTGCAGGTCTTGGGATGGTTGTGTAGTTGGTAATTTAAGAAATGATCAAACTGTTTTCCAGAGTGGCTATACCATTTCATATTCTCATCAGTAATTATTGAATAACGAGTTTCTCTCTGGGCTATAGATACTCATATCCTGTACATTTAAACCTTATAATCTTTTGTATCCTTGCTCAAGCAAGTCCACTCCAGTAAGTCAGATAAAGAGAAACCCCCCCCCCCCCCACCCCATGCCTTCATAGGTTCTGTCTCCCATTGGTTAGAATTTGCTCCATAGAGTTTGGCTTAACTCCTTAACTCCAGTGTTGCTTTGTTGTCTCATCTTGGTCCTTTAGCAGTTACTTGGAAAACCCRGCAGTACAGTATTTCGCTCATGTATGGAAGCAGTGAGAGGAGCCTGATACTTAAGGCATGTAACTGGACAAATACATTCAGGGTGTTTAGGTTGTTCTCTTGAGATCTAAAATCTCAGCTGTCATCACTACTTGTTCCATATTTATGAAAAGGGAAGTAAGAGCAAGAAGACTTTCTTTTTCATTGAGGTTCTATAATTAATTACTTTGATATTTTTGAATCATCTACTGTTACTCTGTGTAGGCATTCTCTGAGTATCAAGAATCTTTGAGAATCTCTTTGATAGGCCCCTTCTACTTAGGGTATCCAGAGTCATGCTTTACTAACTCTACTTTCTCCAGTGATCACCTCCTGAACCTGCTTTTTCTTTTGTAGTATTTTCAACTATCATCAGAATCTCTCAATTTTCAYACTGCAATTTTTTTAAAACAATTTTTTTCTGTAATTTCACTGTAACCAGAAATAAGAAGAAAGTATTTTTTCTGGTTTATCCATCTTGAACTGAATGCCATCCATTTAATTTTTTGGTTGTGGAAGCAAATATATGATCTTGTACAATTTTTTTTTTTTGCTAAAACCTCCAGGTTGCCTGGCTGGTAGCAGGACAAGTAAATGACTTCTAAGGTAATTTTTACCCTATTTCAGTGTATGATTTTATGAATCTATGGTTAGAAAGTTAACAATAACTTCTTTACACATTAACAGAAAATTTTTTCTTATCTTCATCATCTTTTCAAATGATTCTCCAGATATATTCACTTTAGCACCTACATATACACACAAACAAAACGAAAAGAAAAATGGAAAAGAAAAAAACAATTTTAAATTCATAAATTATTTGTATTTGCAAGTATTTGGGGTCTATGATCCAAATGCTTTTGTCTTCCTCTGAGCTTTTAAGCTTGGGATATAATACTACTTTGTTTCTTTTTTCCTTTGTCTAATAGCAGATTTGGTTAAATGTTAGCATTAGAATATCTTGATTCTTCCTATGTCATAAAATGCAAATTTCCATTAAACATTGAGATTTTAATTTATTCACTAAATGAAGAGGATGACCCAGATTAAAGGGAGTTAAAACTTTTTTCAGATGGGCAGAAGATATAAGTAAATGGTTTTTCTTTAGTCAGAGAAATAAAAAGTCTTAAGATTATTAAAAACAGACCTGAAGCCAAATATTATAAAGTATTAGATGGGGAAAGAGAATTGTACTATGTATGAGATTTATAAAGATACCTATGATTCCAAATAAAACCATAAATGCTAGTCACAGCCTGCTTTTACATTCTACTATAACAGTTTTACTACCTAGTTTTTTGGGTTTAAAAGTTGAGCTTATTCTGGGTGTAGGAATTAAAGAATAAACAATATAGAGGGTAATCTAATATAAGGAAGGCACCAGGATTGAAGATTTAGAGGCATTTACTATAGTAAAGAGATGAGTTCATTGGGCAGAGAGGCCGTTCCTGCCAACCTATGTCTTCTTCCCCTCTGTGTGTCTCGGAAGCACCATATCCCTCATTATATTTCTTTGCAACCTTAACTGCTGCCTGACATTTTGTTAATTATTTGTTTATTATCTACTTATTTTATCAGTTTAAGCTCCATGGGAAAATGGCTTGTTTCTGTTTATTGATGTATCTCTAGTTCTTAGATAATACTGAGTATGTGACTGGTTCTCAATAAATGCTTTTGGAATAAAAGAAAAAAAATTAACTATGGAAACTCATTATTGGAAAAGAGCTTTAAAAACAATTCTAATGCTTGTGTTGCCTAATTAACAAATCTACTGAAGAGTCATCCAGTCTAAGTTCTTAAATTCATTCATGTTTAGTTATGGGAAACTCAGTTTGCCATGGCCATTAATTTTGTCCTTAGAAAATTGGATCATTATAAGTTTCTCTCTGTTTTTTTTTTTTTTTTCCTTAAGGGCTCTGCTTTATTCCTGAGACACTAGAGGATCATGATAATACTCTTCCATATGGCAGTCTTTAATATATTTGGACACATTTGGATACTATTAGTCTCCTGAGTGGTCTCTTTCTAGCCCCAAATCTCTTCAATTACTACAACTAAGGCATGAGTTCCATTTGTGTTAGCATATGACTCAATGCTAAAAGAGGCATAATCACAAAACAAAGAGAATTCAGAAGCATGTCCCCATGGCCCAACAAGAATTTATTTGTATGACAATAAAGTGGATTCCTGTTAAATAATTCCCCCTTTTCCTTCCAAAGGATAGTGAGCCTTTGATTCTAGGATCCTGTATCCCTGGTAGATTCTGAACTCTGCACATTCTTGTGGAGGGTGCAGGGGAGAATAGAGAATCAAGAGTTGTCTCATCCACTCACATCCCTTTGACCCTATGTATGCCCCTTTTGTTTGCTGATTGAGCAGTCGTCTGGATACCACCATTTTCAAGTTGTCATTTACATCAGTTATTGAAGCCAGACTGGCTTTTGTGATTGGTCCTAATTCATAAGTCTCTTCTCCATGTCTAGATTCTTTTGTCAGAATGCATCACAAGTCAAATATGACATTGAAAAGTAATCCCAGTTTTCCAGGTGTGGTTTAATCAACACCATCCCAGGTTTGGATTATCACCTCCTTTGTTACATTAATGCTGCCTGAAACCTAATATGCTTTTTTGGAGCATTGACCATGGTCATGACTCACACTGACTTTACCTTCCACTAAACTCGACTGAGTCATTTTAATACACAATAAAAATTGTCTTCCCTGTCCTAAACCTATGCCTCTGGCTTTTAAAATTTGAGAGCAATTCTGAAGACTTATTACTGTTAGATTTATTCTGTTGTTCCAGTTGGCCAGAATCTTTTTTATTCCATTGCTGCAGCCTGTCAAGATCTTTTTGGATTTTAATTCTTTTATCCTGGTTACTCAGTATCTTTCTTAACAGTCTGCAAACCATGCTTGATCAGAATTTTTTCTATATCTGCACTCCATAGTGAAAATACTGAACTAGATAGGGCAGAAGAAAGGGACTGTGGTGCATGTACACCTCCTTTCAGGTTTGCATTTCTTCAGTATTCCATGGCCTTTGGATATAATTGTTTAACCTATTATTGATCCAYATAATTATGTTTATTTCAAGGACACATTTTTTCCATATTATTCAA